TGAATAGCATGGAATTAAACCTTCAGAGTATACGTTTTGTGACTGGTACCAAGAGTTGACAGATACCACACATGTGTCACTCCTTGAAATGCAATAATCAGCTGTATTCAAATAATGTCTAATATAAATATAACCTAGAATGTGTACTCGTGAAAAAAGAAAAATAATGGCAAATTTGTAGTTTTTTTGCAGGTTTTAGGTTTGCTGGTAGCTTTAAGGCATATATTTGGGAATTTCTTAATCGCTGTGAATATAGTGTGGATGTTTGTTCAGTTCCTGAACAATGAAAAATATTCAACTTTATGGATGTATGGATATCAAAATACCCGAATGGTTTTGTGGGAATATCAATCTAAGGTGCCATAATGGTTCTGATGAACGGCAAGTAAATGAATGAATGTTTGGAAACGAGCAATATCTTTTGGTAGAGCCAGTCATCAAGCAGGTGCTTAATGGCTATTTGCAAGAGGTTTATAGGAAAAAACACCCAGTATCACATATCAATTGAAGAAAATAATATAAACATGAGTAAAAAATCAACAATAGTAATTAAAACATGAATTTAATTTAAAAATCAAACATTTCTTAAAATTTTGACTGAATTATATGTAATTTCTTAATATTCAATAAGCTGGTGATGTCTCAATGACAAGTTGTCATCTCATAATTTGACAGTATTTGTCTTCAACATTTCATAGCTACTGGTTGCTAAAATTTGTTGATTGGAACTTGAAGCTCATTCGCTGTATCTGACGGTCTGTTACCCTATAGGCGGAGAATAACGGACTGTTGTTGGTGAAATTGGCTCTAAGAATGTTAAGAAGCGTGTCTTACGCAAAGAAAAGAAGAAGCCTAAAAAATCAAAGGAGACTAATGAGAAGAATAGAACAAGTGATGAAGAAGAAGAAGAAAATAATTGCTTTTGTTTGGTTTGCCTTGAAGCCTATGCAGACAGCAGATCGAATGAGCAGTAGGTCGAATGCCTGGAATGCAAAGACTGGGCACACGTAGATTGTATTGGAGACGAGCTGCATTACGTTCGCCATAATTGTGAATCTGATTAGATTAAGATTTTGTATTGATTATAATAATAATATGACTGATCTCAAAGGGACGCCATATTTAGTTAATTAAAAGATTATAATTACTTGTTATGAGAATGTTAATACTATGTTGTTTTAGTTGGTAGGTACTAGAAGATGATTAAAGTACTGTTTTGGTAAAAAAACCTGTTAGATTTATTTATATTATGCGTACTGTGTAATAGATTAAATAAAATGCTGTCACAACTTATCTCGGTGGTTGGAAAGTTGTGACAGGGGGAGTGGTATTTGTTTTTGTTGATTTTTTTCAGAAAGTATAATGCTTTAATTAATTTTGGTGATGGTTTTGAAAACATAAAGAAATGCGCTAAATTAATTCACACGAGTCATAACTGTGGAATTTTTCTTCAGCCAGATATAGCCCCTTATGTAAAAATTGTCACAACTCTCCTAGGTCTCCCCTATCACTCAGCTGTGACTGTCTTCTGTGTATCCAAATCGCTCCATAATCTGAGAAATACAGCTATCATCTTTTTCTTGGCAGATCGGGATTTTCTTACAGCTACAGGTGTGTCCCAATCATCAAAGAGCCAAACTTTGTTTTGAGCCTTGGTCGGAACGTCGTAATAATAGAGTCAAGTCTCGTCACCTGCCGCGATGCTGTTCACATAACGAGATTGTCCCTTATCAAACATCTGCAGCATCTTCCGGCACAAAGTCGGTACCCAGAGAGAACAAAGTTTTCTTACGTGTAAATGGACATGCCGAATTGTGCCGAATTGAATCAATTGCTGAAGCTTGAAGATGTAAGGTCTCTTCTATCTATTGATATGTAAATCTCTGGACTTCGTCAAGCATTTTCCTCGCAGCACTAATGTTTTCCTCTAATATTGACGTTCGCGGCCTTTCTTCCGTCAATCAATCAATCAATCAATAACCTTTATTTCCATACAGACAATATATAATTGTATTGGAATTGTAAATTTTTCGTTCGCTACAAACCTACAACTAATCTCAAATTGCTATGTTCAAAAATTCATCAACACGATAAAAGCACCTGTTTATCAAAAATTCCTTCAACAGGAACTTAAAGGCGTTAATATTTTTAACCGAGGTAATGTGGCATGGTAAATTATTAAAAAGAAGCGGACCAATTTTATTAGGTGATCGAAATGCCGCTTTTGATTTGCTAAAGTTTACATATAAATTATTGTATCCTTGTATCATAATTATGCATATCACAATTCCGCTTGAATTTTTCATTATTTTTAAAAACATGTAAGCACGATTCATATATATACAACGAAGGGACAGTTAAAATGTTGAAACTTATATCTCGAATCCACATTAGCAAAATAAACTTGTATCAATTGTTCAGCTGTTAAGATGGTTTTTAATTGCCTCAACACATAGCTTTGAGAGTACATTTTTGATGTGAGAAATTCGCAGTGGGCCTTCCAATTGATGAAAACGAATAAACGTTGTTTTGGAAGGATTCAAGTAAAGTGAGTACTGGTTAAACCATGTATTGATATTCCTAATTAAGTTGTTACATTTATCTTCCAAAATTATATTTGAATTACTTGATATTATCGCAGAAACGTCATCAGCATATGCTGTAAAATGGGTATCTGGATGAACATTATCAAACCGATTAATGTATAAGAGGAAAAAGATTAGTCCAAGAATAGAGCCTTGAGGGACTCCAATCGAAATGTCTAACGTACTTGACACAAAGTTTTTTATATTGTTCTCTGCATCAAGATATTCTAGTGAAACATATTGTTTTCTTTGGACTAAAAACGATCTGGCCCATTTAAGAGACTGACCGACAAAACCATATTTAACAACAATCTCCAAGAATTTGTTGTGATCAACGCAGTCGAATGCCCTACTTAGATCACAAAATACCCCAGTAGGGCACTCGCCCGCGTCGATGTATTCTATAAGCTTCTCATAAAAGGAATGTATGGCTGACATTGTGGTCTTACCATCTGAGAAACCATGCTGGTTTTGAGACAAGATATTGTTGTTCTTAAGATGTAGAAGAAGTCTATCGAAATAGGCATATTCAAACACTCTAGAAAGTACAGACGGCACAGTGATTGCCCTGTAGTTTGTAATATCGAGCTCGTTCCCTTTTTTTAGAATTGGTATAACTTTGCCTAGTTTCAGCCTACTTGGGAACTCTCCGCAGCAAAATGAGATATTTATAAGGTGTGTTATTGGTTTTATTATAAGATGTAGTACTTCTTTTACCAGAAAATTGGGAATGTCATCAAAACCGTAAGATTTGGAATTTTTTAATTTTTTCAAAAGTAAGTTACTGAGCTCATTATCTGTATAAGGGTAAAGTTTGAAGTAATTTTTGACCATAAATTTTAAATCAGCTGCACTATGTGAGGTATTAATTTTTTGTATTATATCATCTGGAGCATTTTTAAAAAATCATTGAACATATTTCCCAACAGCTGAGGGTCGTACACTTTTTCATTTTGATCTTTATGTAGAACTATATTTTTTCGAACTCTGTTCTCATTTTTAGTTGCATTGACCACTTGCCAGCACGCTTTGGTGGTATTTTTAGAGAATACAATTTTGTTTTGGTAGAATGATCTTTTTGTGTCTCTGATCAATTTTTTATGTGCCTTTTTAGCATCATTATACAGTGACTTTAGCCTTGGATTTATTTGTGAAGTATGATATAAATCTTTCAAATTATTGCTTGAATTTCTTACGTTATATGTAACCCAACTTTTTGAGCCGTTTCCCTTACAGGCTTTATGTAAAGGGAAATGCTTATTAAAATAGTACAAAAAGATATTAAAAAAATTACCAAACGACTCAGAAACTGTAAAGCTAGAGTAAACTGACAGCCAAGATTCGTTTAATAAAGATTCTTTACAGTCGCTAATTGCGTTTTGATGGAAACTTCTTTTGTTCAGGTAAATTTTGTCCGATTTCTTGGAGCAAAGATCGAAGTCCCCCAGAGTCGTTCTGTGATCTGAAACTGTATTATCATAGACACAGGAAACGAACTGAGTAATATTGGTAAAAACGTGGTCAATGCTCGTGGCCGAAGTATCTGTCACTCGGGTTGGCCAACCGCCTTTATGATACAAACCAAACATAGAGAAAATATCACACAATTTCATAAAATTAATACATTTTGACTCATAACAATTAAAATTAAAATCGCCACATACAAGCAATAAATAATTAGGATCGAAAACAGTATTTAAAATTTCTTCAATTTTTTTCTAAAAATACGCCTACGTCACCATTAGGTGAACGGTAGCAATTTATTATCTTAATTTTTTTGTCTGAAATGGTACAAGATATTGAACAAACTTCAATGTCCAATTCAAAACAATATTTATTCAGATCTATTGGCTTGTATTGTAAATCTTTACGAATGTATATAGCAACACTACCTCTTTTCTGATTAGTTCGGGCATAAAAAGTTGCTAATTCATAACCATCAATTTTATAGCTTACCATTGATTGACCATTAGTCCATGTTTCGTTAAAGCAATAAAATAACAAGTTTTTGAACATAGACATTTTAAACGATAGCTCATCAATTTTGTCAAACGTTATCCCATTTAGATTTAACAGAAGTAATTTAGGATCGATAAATACTGGGTCGGTTCGACTGTTTTTCTCCGAAAGAAAAAACGTTGTACATAACAACCTTGGGGCCACAGTTCTTGGTTCATTGCTGATTTAAAGTTATTTTCATAAACCGAAATTTTAAAGGAAGCGTAACGTTCCGGATATTTCGACTTTATGTTATTAACTAGAAGTTCAGGAAAATGGGGTGTCAAATAGATTTTCATCGCTTCATCAGTTGTTGTAGGATCAAGCCTGGACACATGTAGAGTTGCCATCTTAGGAACAGCTGAAGGTACATTACTACTTGTTTGACTATATGTTTCAACTACTGGTCTTTTTCTTTTATGTGTCACACTCTTCCAGCCGCTGTCGCTATCACCGTTCTGGATTGGTTAACTAGCAGACATTGGACTACTTAATACTCTTTGAGACTGGGCTTCATACACTGGTCGTGAAACTTGCTGCGATGTTATAGTAGTTGAACAGTGATTAGTCGCTGACCGCTGAGGGTTAACAGATCTCTGCTGCCTGAAGTGATCAACAGTGTTTAATTCGTCTGATGGTTTTCGAGTCGTCGTCTCGCTACTGCTGGCTGAGGAAAAATTCACTGGGACGGATGATGATTGTGGTGGGAGACTGTGCGTTGGTACGGATACTGTAACCGCTCTGCCCAATGCAAGACTTCGCCCCCTTGTCTCTGCTGGAGGAGACAAACCGTCGGTAGAACCATTCTGGCATGACTGAGTGTATGACGTATTGTTATGATTCTGTATAACCTCACTATTATGCTGGGCTTGTAGAAGTGATATATACTGTTCAAACTTTTGTTTGATTGTTGCAGTTCCCCAATAAGTCTGTTCTGCATTTTAACTTCACATCTAGCTACCCTTAGGTCACCATACTTATTTAAACAAGAAATATTGCGGCATACCTCTTGTTCCGTCGATATGGAGTCGTGGAAAATTTCGTCATCTTGTTGCTCTTTCTCCAAAAATTTCACTACTTCATCACTCATTGTTGAAATCACATTTTCAGGTAACTTTTTATTAATTATATAATATATTAGATCTTTCTTTACGAGTTTTTGTAACTCGTTGACTAATTGCTGCTGCATCATGGATCTGTTTACATTCATAAATGCGTCCTCCAGAGTGATACTCGTATTATCATCAAAATCAAAATGTAAAGTATCTCCCATCGAAAAAATGTTACACATTATTTGCAGACATTTCTGGCAAATTATTCAGGGCAATATTTGAAGATAACAATGGAAAAATTCTTCTTGGATGGCAATGTTTACCAGTGCATGATAATAACGAAATAACGCAATGCAAGAAGTGTCCTCGCTTCAATCACACCGAGAAGAAATGCCGCAATAACAAGACCTGTACCAACTGCAGCAAAGAGGATGTACACGATACTGACTGTTGTAAGCATGAACCGGTTGTATGTTGTAATTGCAAATTTTCAAACTATAGATATAACAAAAATTATAGTACCAACCACTCACCATTAGATAAAAAATGTCCAACTTTTCTATATTATCAACAGCAGTACAACTTGAAAATCCTTTTTTAAGAAAGAAGAAATTTTAGCCAAAATTTTATTATTGCATCATTTATGACACACGACTATGTAAATAACTTCCAAATTCAACGTATTAGTACTAATACTGCTCATGATACTAGCGAGCTAGATTCTTTTTTACAAAATCCTGAAATATCTGTTAGAATTTATCACATGAGCATCAGAAGTATAAAACATAACTTTGACTACTTTAAATTAATTTTGAAAAGAATACAAAGTGATATAGATATAATCATTCTATCCGAAACATGGCAAGTGGGCGATGTGACTCTGTTTCATTTAGAAGGGTACGATACATTGTATAATTTTGGTAACCATAATCAAAACGATGAAGTGATGGTGTATGTACGAAACAATCTGCCTTATAACCATACCATATTTACAATCAACAATGAACTAAAAGGTATCAATCTAACAATGCAAATTGAAAATCGTAGAGTCAAAATTACTTGTGTTTACCGACCACCATCTTCAGATCCTCATACATTTATAAGAGACATAGATGAACTATTAAAAAACAATGAAAACAATCACCTTCATAATCAAATATTTATAGGCGACATCAATATAAACATTTTAGAGGAAAATTCTAAGGTAAAAGAATATTTAAACATTTTATCAAGTAATGGTTTTTTATCATACATAAATAAAGTAACACGACCCACCAGTAAAACCTGCATTGATCACTGCTTTATAACGGATATTTCCAATATTTTTTCTTACATGCCTATTATCTATGAAACCGATATTACAGATCATTATTCCACTGTATTATTGATATCTTCACAAAATAAAAACCAGAACTGCCCAAGGGCAAAAAATGAAAGAAACCTTGAATACAAATATTTCACTGACAACTCAAAATTAATATTTAACGAACAAACGGAATCGTGGGACGAAATTTTTTTAACAAATTCTTTAGACGAAGCTACAAATTTATTAATACACAAAATTCAAAAAGTAATTGAAGTTACTACTAATAAGGTTAAAATAAGTCACAAGGAAAAAAGCAGAAATGATTGGATGACCAAAGGACTAATAAAATCTGCAAACGAAAAAGAAAGACTGTATAAAATCATGAAATATTTACCCACGAAAGAAAATATAGATCATTATAATCAGTATAAAAACAAATTTATAGAACTTTTGAGAAAAGCAAAAAAAATTACTATATAAAACAATTGAATCATAATTCACATGACTCTAGACACCTATGGTCCACTGTCAATGATATATTCAATAAGTCATCCTATCCAAAAAACAATATTAATGAAATAAAAACAAAAACAGGGCAGAAAACAAACAATATTCAGCAAATATGTGATGAGTTCATAGAATTTTTCACGAATATAGGAGGAAACTTAGCAAATAATATCAAACAAAATGCTGATATTCATCTGCATGAAACAAGACTGAATAATTCATTTGTATTAACTGAAGTAGACTATCAGGATGTTTTCAATACCATTATGACTCTAAAAAATAAAAAAAGCCCTGGAGTTGACGAAATTAGAGCTGAACATCTAAAGATACTGGCCAAACAAATAACAGAACCACTTGCTTATATCATTAACAAATCCTTCCAATCTGGAGTATTTCCATCAGCTTTCAAGACAGCAATCATCATACCTATCTATAAATCTAATGATAATACGGACGTCACTAACTATCGACCTATTTCACTTAAATCAAGTTTAGCTAAAGTTTTTGAGAAATTACTCCTTAATAAAATGATTAATTTTCTTAATAAATTCAAAATTCTAAATTCAAATCAATATGGTTTTATAGCGGGCAAATCTACAACAGATGGGGTATTAAGTATAGTAGATGAAATAATCCAAAATATAGATGGAAAAGTACCATCGATATGCGTATTTGTGGACTTACAAAAAGCGTTTGACACAGTTAACCACAATATACTTTTGGAAATCTTAGAAAGAATAGGTTTTCGTGGAAAGATGTATACTTTAATGGAAAATTATTTATCAAATAGACCGCAATCAGTAAAATTATTAAGCTCGTATAGTAAAGAAATGTTTGTTAAATGTGGTGTTCCACAAGGTACAATTTTGGGTCCTCTGTTATTCAATATTTATTTAAACGATATATTCAAAATTAACAGTACTGGTAAAATAGTCAGTTTTGCAGACGATACTGCTATACTCTATAAAGGTAAGGATTGGAACGACTTAAAAGAAATTATCCAAAATGACTTTTGCAAAATTATTCAGTGTTTTAATAACCGAAAATTAACAATTAACTTTACTAAAACTCATTTTTTACCATTTTCATCACTATCTAATCATCTACCAAAATATAACCACCTTCGGTTTAAGGTAAATGATAAAAATATAAAAATCAATAGAGTTAATGATACAAAATATTTAGGAATTTATCTAGATCCCCACTTGAGATGGGATGTACATATTTCTCACATACTAAAGAAAATTAGATTCATAGCATATAAAATAAAATTTCTAACCGGTATATTAACTGAATATTATCTACGAATAATATATCAAGCTTTAGTCGAGCCACACATAACATATGGTATAGTAGTGTGGGGTGCTGCATGCACGACATACTTTAACGATTTAGATGTACTTCAAAGAAGAATTTTAAAATCAATGTTAGGCAAATCAAAATTATACCCAACTAATGACTTATATAATGATGCACAAGTATATGATACTAAACAACTTTACTTCTTACATACCATCACTCATTATCACAAAACTATTAGTGAACACGACATAATTAAACATAATCATAAAACCAGATATAAATTACGCGCAAAAAATGTTCCTAAACCAAACAAATCCCTAATGAAACGATGTCACCTGTATATAGCTCCAAAATTGTACGAACATTTACCAAATAATTTAAAACAATTACGCAATACATTAGGCTTCAAAAAAAAATTAAAAAAATTTATTAACACGATTGGGAGAAATCAAATTAATAAAATAATCTCAAATATTACACAATAAATGCTCTACCATTCTTACCAATAATTTCTTTTTTCTCTCTATTTTATTATATTTTGCAATTCAACATACATATGATCCATGCACAGGCGTTGTCCTCCTATGGATATATTATATTTATTTACTCGTTTCATGTTCCCTGTATTTTAGAGTAAATAAATATTATTATTATTATTATTATCCCTTTGGAATTCTATGTAAACTGCCCTTATCTCGCTACGTGACCTCGATGCCATAACCCGCACCTTACGCTGTCAATACGGATGAACAACTAAATCAACAGACATGCTTCTGGCGGCTACTATGCACCCATGGACATATCTCAACATGAAGTAATATGCAACCTCCTGCGTCCGTTTGCTAAGCCATATTGCAAAACTTTTATAGTATTTTGTAGATGGTGCCAGTTAGGTTATAGACAGACAAAGATGACAGTTGCTGATTAGCCGCTCATACCAACACTCAAAGTGTATTGATGCCATAGAATAATGCTACCTTCTATCTACTCTGTCCCTTTCGCATCTAAATTTGACAGTTCAACCTCCAACCCTGCCCTAAGTGAACTAATTTTAGCTGCTCTGTTTTTCGAGTCAGGCGTCACGATCACGATCCGATCATTAGTGTCCACGTCCAACAGTTTCCCATCCAAATCCAAGCGTGGTCAAATTAACCGTCGGGATGCTCTTATAAATAGGAAAAGTGCCGGCCCCCTTGCCACCGTTATCCAACTAGGAACGAAGTTTCTGTTAAATGGCATTAGTTCTACTTACACAGAAACCG